GGCGGGGACACAGTGAATGAGTGAGTGTGGGTTGGGGAGATCACACGTCCCGCCCCCCGTTCCTCCAGCACAGAGCGTATTTCTTTCATCCTTCCTGGATCCAAGGCCGTAGTGGTACGGTTGCTCTAGGAGGGCGGTAGTCATAATGGGAGAGTTTTAGTGGGTTCGAGTCCCACATAACCTGGTGACTCGCCAGGTATCCGTGGGGATTTCTCTTCCATGGCAAAAAAAAAAAAAAAAATTTCTTTCATCCTCGGCGTGCAGGAGCCGAGGATGAATTGCATAAAATCGCATGAAATCCTGCGCGTGTCACCCCAAATGGCTACGCGTGTCAGCACTGACACGCGTGTCATAGATTCGCCATCACTGGTATAGAGATATAACATAATGATAATGACGCACATTCAGTTTAGCTAAATTTCATTTTTATCTGCTGCCTCCAATTTATCTTGCTTGCTCCTTTTCCAATGCTTTGCATAAGGCTACTTATATCAAAAGAGGACCGCATGATGGATATGTACTTTCTTCTTAGCTCTCCTTTCTTACGAAACAGCCTTCTTTTTATCTGTTTGAACATCTGGAAGCTGAATCCCAACTTCTAAAATTCTGAAGTTGGGGAAAATTATTTCAGGTGTTTGCATTCTGACCAATAGAAAAAACAAAACAATTGTCCATCTATACAGAACACGCTACATTTATATTACCTCACTAAATATTCCAAGTGATTAGACTGAAGAATTATTAGAAAAGGTCAAAAAATTATCCATATCCTGAGTACTAGAGAATATGTGAACACTGTGAGCTACTTAAAGCATCCAAAATAAGACACAAGACACAGAGATTGTCACATAATAGTGCTAATGATGCAATTAGGTATTTGTGTTATGATTTGTGATGCTAATACATAAGTTTCATTATATATGCATCTACATCAACGTATCTACATTTACAGGTAGTCCTCAACATACGTACTTGAGTCTGTAGTTACAGTTGTACATTGTTACATTTGTTAAATGGGTCATCATGTAATCAGACCCAGTTTTACAGCATTTTTTGCAGCCATCATTAAGTGACCATTGAAGTTCTTAATTGAATACCATGATCATTAAGGGAATCCATTTTTTGCTGGAAACCAGAAGTAAACACCTGAAACTGGCAAAAAAAGTCAAAACTGTAGTCACACGACTGCAGGATGCTACAAATGGCCATAAAGGTGAATTAGTTGCCAAGTGCCCAAAATGCAATCACTTGAGAGTACGTGCATCTATTATAACTTCAGAATCAGATTATAAGTAGCTTTGCGGGGTCCATCCGTGATCAGTTGTAAGTTGAGGATTGCCTGTACATCTTTATATCTATGTCATGATCGAGTATCACCCATTCATCTGCCTCACAGATACCATAGAACTGAAACATATTAAATCCTGTTAATCTCACAAGTACCATGAATTTACTAAACAACCTTGGAGTGAACATCATGAAAACCAAGGGATCGCTGGGTCTCCACATACCTTTCTCCGTACTGCAAAGTTCCATGAGACAATGATACTTAAAATATTTTCAGGTTAAAAATATCTAGTATATTTAAATATCACGTATCTGCTTATATTCCTTAGAGGGGGAGGTATGGATCCTGCTATTTGGTAACAGGTAGAGAAATAATTAAAGAGGATTGGCGATAGCCAATGAAGTGACAGGAAGAAGCAAAAAGACCAGGGTTGAGATGCAGATAACAATTGAGTGAATAGGAATAGAAAAAAAGAGAATTTGGGTTTTAAAATGTGACCACAAACACGGGCAAGAAAATACTCCATGATTTTAAACAAGTAACTTTAGGTTTGGCGCCTCAGACTATCTTGCTGCCAGATATTAAGTCTTCGGGTCAAATGATTTGCCTTTCAGTCTCACTTGTTTGCGTTTTATTTATAGATATTTAGTGACCAGTTTGTCCCATTATAGCAGGGGTGTCAAACTCAATTTCATTGAGGGCCGCATCAGCATTGTGGTTGCCCTCGGGGGGGCCGCGGGGGTGGTGGTGGCCATGGTGGGTGCGGCCTTCTGGGTGGGTGTGGGTGGAGTGGGTGTGACCTACTGGGTAGGCATGGCCAGCTCTACATCGTTTGCATCAAGGGGGCCTGTGGGGGCCTGGGCAGGAGTGGGACAGATCTGAGGGTCTCTGGCAGAAGGGGTTGGGATCGGGGCAACTGCCAAGGCATGGTCCATTTCTTCATTCCTCACAAAGGGTGACACCTCCCCAGCATGCACCCAGGGGGCGGGGCCGACTGGGGCTAGTTCCTCATTGTTTCCAGACAGCCTTGTGGAGCTAAGACTGAATGCGTTTCAGCACAGAAGGCCACCACAAAATTGTACATTGGCTCCCAGCTGGCCTGGGCCAGGGCCAAGGCAGCAGTGGCTGTTCCCTCACTGTTTCCAGGACGGCCCCACGGGCCACATGAAACCACTTTGTGGGCCGCATCCAGCCCAGGGGCCTTGTGTTTGACATGTCTGCATTATAGAAACTATTTTGTGAATGGGCAGCCAGGATAATATAGACTTTTTCAAAAGTACAAGTTTGTTGGCCCACCAAATATATTTTCTTTCAGCAAAACAAATTACTATTTAAAGAATTTAGAATTTATAATAATTGCTTATAAACTGATTTGTTTATAATATGTTATTAAGGTTTAAAGGGAGTTAAGGGTTAAGTATGATTTTAATTGTTGTATAAATTGTTAAACTTGTTTAGCTTATGATTAATATACTTGTTAACTTAATTAGATTATGTTTAATATGTTTGAAATGCCCTGTATTTGGCTCCGGGAAGTGGGGGGATGGGGGGTGGGCGGAGGGTTATTGGGTTTATTTTGTAACTGTTAATAAAACTTTTTAAATAAAAAAAAGAATTTAGAATTTTCCCTCTCTTCTAATCTGCATTGATTAATAGTTGAAAAAAAAAATTAATTAAAATTAAAGCTATGTACATATTCTGATATATCTTTAAATGTATGATCAATGCCAAATGACTATTTGAATGGATCTCTCTCATTTGTGGTTACAGGAGCTGTTATAGTTGTAGAAAATAACTTTGTGTGAAAACAGCTTCCTTATTTACTCAAATTTAATAGACAAGGCACAGGTTTGGTGGACTCACCCATGACTGAACTTTTTCAAAGATAAAGATAAAGCAACCATTACATTTTTTTTTTAAAAAAAGCAATTTTAATGTACAAATAAACATTATCTTTTCCATCTTAAACTCTTTTTTAAGCAAGGTAACATCCTCAGCAAAAAAAAAAAAACACCCCTTTTTGCTGTTTCGTTGTTACCTAATAACATAGGGAGTACACAATGATACCAATTTTAGCCGATTAAAAGTGCATTTCAAGACATTTGTCATCTTTTAAAAATGGAGACAGAGATAATTTACTCATAAAGAAATGAACAACTATAATATTTTTTGACTCATTTGTTTCTCGTTGCTGTGTTTATCTAGTTTTAGGTACCGTGTGGAGAAAAAGAGTCCACAAACTTTTAAACGCCACTGTATAAGAGCAAAAGGGGGAAAGGGAAAAATCAGTTATAATTGTTGGATGTAATTGTTCATGTACATACATTATAAATTATGTGGAAGAATTAGTCTCTTACCACTCTCACTGTTAGGGTGATCAAGAACTTAAATTATGGCGCCATTTTTGTATAGTAATGCATTTTCCTTCCACGTGGAGTTAATAGTTCTCCTTCTTTCTTAAACAAGCAGCTCCAAGTTTCCTCTTAGAATTACTAAGGATTGGAAACTGCCAAGAAATGGATTAGAATTAGAAACTATCAATAAATTCCATGGCTGTAAATCAGTCTATAAATATCCTGTAAAATATCTTAGGAGAAAACAGTAACAACCATTTCTGCTTTACTGCCAAGAAGAATAAATATATGTAAATGTAGTCACCAGAAATTGAATTCAGCTCAGGGAAATCTTTACCTATAATCATGGTATAAGCTGCATCATGGATGTATTCCACAATCCTCATATTTCTAGCAAGTAATTCTTTTTGAAAAGATTGGTATCACCAGCATATTCATGTTCTTCAGAGAGCACAAATAAAGCAGATAACCTTTTCTTTCAAGAAAGAACAGAGAGCAGTCTTTTTCAGAAAATGGTATTACTATGAGGATTTATAAACAAGTAGTTTAAAAACAAGAAGCTCCTTGCAATAATTTCTGTGCCAAACCAATAGAACGGCAAACATCTACAACCTGCAGAATTGTGGGGTTCCTTCAGAAATGGGGGTACATAAAAACAAATCATGAGCAGAGAATTGAGTGAACTGTAAAACTCTTTTCACTGATCTAGACATGAATATGGCTGTGTCCACGTCCTCTGCTGTCAGCTAATATTGTGTCTGGCAGACATAAGAGGACTTAAGAGACACTCAGGAGCAAAGCTATTCTCACTATTCTCTTGATACTCAAAAGGCAGTGCAGTAGATGGCTGAATATTCCCATTTTATGTAGTATAGATTGATTCTGAGAATCTGCTCATATCAATGAGCTGAGTGTCAACAGTTTCAATAAGCTAGCTTTCCCATCAACTATTTTTCACCATAATTTTTATTAAAAGAAAAATGTGTACACGCTTAAACTATAGAAAAGTAAAAGAACAAAGGAAATATAAAAGACTCCAAGAAAAATAAAAAAGTGAAATGTAACAAAAGAGAAAGAAGTATCTAAAGAAGCAATTTACAATCTTCTTTGCAGCAGTTACAGACAGTAATTTCAATTTCCGCCCTCCCAAATTACATATTATGGTTCCCCTTTTCCCATAAAACCCTCTTTTTAAACTTCCCCATCAACCACAGACTTTACACATTCCACATTTTGAAGAAAACATGAGACTGAAAAACTGAGGGTAAAAGAAGCATTGTCTTATATCACTATGATCTCTGTAAGTCAAAAATGGCAAGTGGATACAAATTAAAAATGGCAAATTCAGAATCAAAACATTTGTCTAAAAATATTTTAATGTAACAAGTTTCCCAAGAAACAAATATGACATATGACACTCAATGCATAAACTTTTGCCATGTTAAGTCTTATATGGAAAACAGTCACAAAAAATGGCAAATAATTTGATTTACAGGAGCACCACAGCCAAGACCATGCTGCTTTTATTGAAGGCATGGCTTTAGAGGGCCACTCATTAATTCAACATATATTGAAGAAAAATGTTTACAGAGTAACTTAAGTTTTCTTGTGTTCTTTCATACACGCTTACAAAGATATATCCCTTGGAGGATAGAAAAACAAATTATTTCAGCATTAGATGCCAAAACATACAGAAATCTTAATACTAATTTACAACATAATATATTTTTCTTTCTTTTCTTTTACATATATATAAAAAACAGGCTTCCTCTTCAGGCAAGATGCTACATAGAGCTAAAATATGTAAAACCGTGTTTAGAATATTGACCGAAGCAATATTCTTGAGAAGAGTGCCACAAATAAAACCTTATCTGGAAACAAAAGCTGAATGTTCTGAATATTATTTACAAACCATAAACTAGTAAAGCAGCCTTCCTCTACTTTGGCATCCAACAGATATGTGGACTTCAATACCCAGAATTTTCAGTAATGGCTATACTGGCTGGGAAATTCTTGAACTTGAAGCCTGCAAAACTGTAAACCCAAGTAGTCAGGAAAGACTGTCGTAAAAGATAAAACCAGTGCATCAAATTCACATCCATTGGACATCCTCTTTTTATTCTCACTGTATTCTGTAAAGTTAATGCTGGAAGTTATAGGGGTCAAACTGGAATCAGGAACAGAACTAGAGACCAGCCGAAGATGAAATATCCCGGTACGTAATTTCGTCTATAGTTATGGGAAGAGAAATAAATATTGTGAAACAACCATACTTATACATGTCCTTCATGACTGGGCACTTCTTAAGGATAAATTCAATAGGGAATAAAAATGGAGAGTTTAACAGGCAATTACTGCCATGACTCTAGATATAAATTTGTCCAAACTTTTAAACTGTAACTCTTGAACAATAGCAAAAAATTTTCACATTGCCTTTTTTAGTTTTCTTCAGATTTGTTCAAACTTTCTACTTAAAAAAAAAAAAAAAGACAACGTTCTTGGATTTGAATGCCTAGCATTGGTTATTACCGATTATTATTATACTGTAGCCTCCTATATAAGTTACAGAATTTCTGCACTACCCAAAAATAATATAATCTAAAAGCAATTTTGTAGAGGCACAGTGCAGTAGCGATAGATCCTCATTAACTACAGTATGAACAACTCTTCTAAATAAGGAATAGGATGATTTGGTGCTTGGGTTATATTACCCTTCTCCTGCTTGATATTCTCCAGTTATATTGGACTAAAGTATTGAGAATTCCCAGCTAATGTAGCCAGAAACACAATTTACCTGAAGGTCAGCAGGTTGGGGAACAGTGGCTTATACTAACTTTATGGAAATTATAATTAAGTGTATGGCCTACTTTTTTGACTTAATTGAAATTGAAACCAAGAGTTTCTCTCACAAACTTTCTCCTGAAATTCTATTACATATTCTTCAGATCATCTTGTTTAAAGCAAAGTGTTTGAAAATCTGAAATTCTGTACTTTCTGACTAGTTCCATCAATGCAAGAACATTTAAATTGGTAAATTGGAGAGGTTTACATTTACATATCAAAAGAAAAGAAGGAATGTCTATGTAAACTTAGAAATAGTTGTTTTCTAGATATATTTTCTTTAAAGGAATGCCTTATTTTCAACAAATTAAGGAGTAAAACTTTGATTAAATCAAAATATATATTTCTTTTTTATTCATTTAACATTCTCTTCTCTAAACTGCACATTTTTTAAAAAGTATACTTGTTCTTTCATATGATATTTTTACATCACAGAAAGACTTATCCTGGAATCTTACCAAATGAAAGGCTAGAATTGTTCTGTGTGGATCAGAGAAGCTAAGATAAGCCACTGCTCATGCTGGAAAGTCATGCATCACATTATCTTTTTCATGAACGCGGTAAACTTCCATCTCTTGTTCATAAAAATGTACAATGTTCCACATTAAAGACTCACTCCAACTGGGGTTTCCCCAGCACTAATACTTCAGCAGAGCCTGATTTTATTACCTCACTGTGACAAACTCATCCTTATTTCTCTTTTATTCCGAAGATAAGTCTAATTATGGTATATAAAATTACATTTTGTGGAGAAGGAGCTGGAGAACCACCTCCCTTTTATGTGTGTGCTGCTTCATCACAGAGAGTCAAGGAACAAATACATCTTGTGATTAGCCTTTAGTTTAAGACCAGAAACAGAAAGCAGGGATCCAGAGTTATCCCTTCTGAGGTACATATTGCCATTATACCCATAATGCAGTGCAAAGTGCTGCTGCAGATTAAAATTTTACGTTCAAGCTTTAACAGTTGAAATTAAAAAATCAAACATGCAGTTCTCTCCAGTTGCCTTCTGAAATGGTACAAGCCACACGTGTAACATTGATTTCAAGTAGCTTGTTATTCAGAGGTAAGCACCATTTCAGTCATATTTGAAAATCTATTATACCACCCCAATATCATTCAGAGAACTGATTGATTAAAATCAGTACCAACATTTCTCTGTATTGCCACTAGGCAGCACAGAGGGTATGAACATACAACCTGGTTCGCAATCTCTTGCCAAACCTTCATCCATTATATACTAGCATTTCAATTCTGACTAGAAATCACATGTTGAAAAGCATTTGTTCTAATTCTTTACAATCATTACCAAAGCCAACAACATAATACAATAAACATTTGATTTGCCAACAGTGTGGAAGGGACTGGGTTAAAACACAGCTTAATGTTTATTTTCCTAAATGCAATCAAAGAAGGTAAGAAAAATCTGGCAACTTTGCACCATGTTTAATCAAATCACAGTTTTAAGAAACATTTTGTGGCCTGTACTACTGAGGGGCTAAGCAGATGAATTGTCTGGAAGGTGAAAAGTCAGTCCTATGACTGGCCTTCAGAGACAAACCATTTTTTTCAGATGGAAATACTGTTAAATGATCACAATTTACCAAGCAAACATTTTGAATAAAATCTAACAGGCAACAGATTTCTAACAGCAATATTCACATATCGGAAAGTGCAAAAAAAAAAAAAAAAATCAAAAACCCAAAACAAAACAAAAACTCCACTCTAAATCTTTTCAGAGGAAGTTGCTATTTCTGATAATCAACTTTTAGCATTTAATGATCTTTTAGAAACCAAGCCTCAAAAAGATACAGTCCTCACAAGAAATCATCTAGGAAAAAAAAGTACCCTCACCCCTTTTCAAGATTGATCACATTGTTCCGAGCTAGCCCAAATAGCAGCAAACAGACATTTTATTACATGGCAAGAAATATGTCCAAACACCTTCTTCTAGGTATAGTTGCATCAGAGAACCTGAGTATCAGAACAACCTGGCTGAGTCTCAGGCTACTCTCCCTTCCAATGCCGTTCCACTCCAATTGGTCAGCTTTCTAGCACAGTTCCTATCTGCACCCTCTTGAACTTGCACACGATGCTGAACCATCTGAAAAAGTCAAGAAAAAAGAATGAAAATATCACTTGCGTTAAATCCCTCTCACCATTATTCATAGTTCTTAAAAACTGCCCCTCCCCTTCATTTTTACTAAGCCTACAGTCTTTGACTTACAACACTTCATTTAGTGACTGTTACAATGGCACTGAAAAAAGTGACTTATGATTGTTTTTCATAATTATGACCTTTGCAGCATCCCCATAATCATGTGATCAAGCTTCAGATGATTGGCAGCCAACACATATTTATGACGGTTGCAGGGTCCCGGGGTCATGTGATCCCCTTTTGTGACCTGCTGAGAAGCAAAGTCAAGGTGGAAACCAGATTCTCTTAACACTTGGTTTACTAATTTATCAACTGGAGTGATTCACTTAACAACTGAAAGGTCGTAAGATGGGGCAAAACTCACTTAACAAATATCTCAGCTAACAGCAGAAATTTTGGGCTCCATTGTGGTCGTACGTCAAGGACTGCCTGTACCAGTGGCCCAAGAAACAGAACCTCAGAAGTGGTATATAATTATCCAGTGTACCACAAATCTCTTGCCAGATAGCCACCACACTGGGCTGCATTTATAAGGAAGCTAAGCATGGCTGGTTCAGATTTGGGTATGGAGAACCACCAAAGACCTCCTGTGCTATAAGTTAGATTGAAAAGGGAAGGCATTGGCAAACTATTTTTGTCAAAAACCAAAACCAAAACCCAAGGACTCCACCCTACATAAAAGGGTCCAGAAATTACCAAGAAGTTCAATTCAAATTAAAGGAACATTTACAGTGAGCATCCACATTGCAACAGATATCAGAACAGTTTGATGCATCAGAGAGAACTTTGACCCTGCCACTAATAGACCATCCATTCATTATTGTTGCATTTCAGATACCGTATATTCCGGTGTATAAGACGACCCCCAACTTTTGAGAATATTTTCAGGCTTTAGAAAGTCATCTTATACGCCAGAAAATACAGTACAATATTGAATTTCTGTTTATAGATGAGCACAATAGGAGCTCCTTTGCTGCTAGAAAGCTTTGTCCTGTTAGTGCTTATTTCTGTAAAAAAAAATAGGGCTGGCCACTGGGGGGCAGATTGGTTTTAAATTCAGAGAACAGCTACCAGTATATTCCTGCGTATAAGACGACCCCTGACTTTTGAGAAGATTTTCAGGCTTTAGAAAGTCGTCTTATACACCGGAAAATACGGTAGCAATGCTCACTGGGGAAGCTTACTCTTCCTTGCTCAAAAATGTTGGGAGGGAGGGAAGGAGAAGGAAGGAAGGAAGATTGAAGGGGAAAGGAAGGAGATGGAGAAGGAAGGAGATTGAAGGGGAAAGGAAGGAAGGAAGGAAGGAAGGAAGGAAGGAAGGAAGGAAGGAAGGAAGGAAGGAGAGAGATATTGAAAGGGAAGGGATGGAGATGAAAGGAAGGAAGATTGAAGGGGGAAGGAAGGAAGGAAGGAAGGAAGGAAGGAAGGAAGGAAGGAAGGAAGGAAGGAGAGAGAGATTGAAAGGGAAGGGATGGAGATGGAGATGGAAGGAAGGAAGATTGAAGGGGGAAGGAAGGAAAGAAGGAAGGAAGGAAGGAAGGAAGGAAGGAAGGAAGGAAGGAAGGAGAGAGATTGAAAGGGAAGGGATGGAGATGGAAGGAAGGAAGGAAGATTGAAGGAAAAAGGAAGGAGATTGAAGGGGAAAGGAAGGAGATGGACAAGGAAAGAGATTGAAGGGGAAAGGAAGGAAGGAAGGAGGGAGAGATTGAAGGGGGGAGGCGCTGCCAAGGACCACAAGCAGCTCCATACAATTGCCCAGGGAGGGGGGGAGGCTCTGGCAGAGAGCTTGGAGAGCCAAGCGGTGGCAGATCCGGGGCCTCGGAAGCTGCGCGGATGATTAAAACTTTGAAGAGAACCAAACTTTGAAACCTTTTCTTCCGCTTAGTGCAATAAACAAAACAAAAGGCCTTCACTGTGTCTTGGCTGGTTATTGGTCAGACGAGCTTGCCTCTGGTCACGAAGGAAAGTAGCCAGGAGCACAAAACAAAATCATGCAGCGTAAGGATAAGAACATTTGGGGAGAGAAAGAATGAATATGCAGCAGCAGTTGACATGTTTCAGCCTCGTCCCTTCGCTGCTTCCACACCGCGAAGGAAAAGAAACAGCCCGACTTGCTCCCAGCTTCTCCTCCGACCTGCCCTCCACTCACATCCCGGGAGCCAAGGGATGGAGATGGAGAAGGAAGGAGATTGAAGGAGAAAGGAAGGAAGGAAGGAAGGAAGGTAGGAAGGAGAGAGAGATTGAAGGGGAAGGGATGGAGAAGGAAGGAAGGAAGGAAGGAAGATTGAAGGGAAAAGGAAGGAGACTGAAGGGGAAAGGAAGGAAGGAGAGAGAGATTGAAGGGGGGAGGCGCTGCCAAGGACACACAAGCAGCTCCGCAAAATTGCCTGGGGAATGGGAAGAGGCTCTGGCGGACAGCCTGGTGGAGAACCAAGCGGCGGCACATCCGGGGCCTCGGAAGCTGCGTGGAGGATCCGTGCGCCTCGGAGCCGCCGACTGCACTCTCACCCTCAACCTGGAGCCCCCCATCCTCCTCCCAGCACCTCTTGCTCTCTCCCAGCCTCCTGAGCGCCATTGCAGTGGTGGGGTCACGGGAGCCCCTTTCCACGCCGCGCAGCCCATAGCATGCAAGAGGGGCATGGCCGGAGTGCCAGCCCCCGCTCGGAAGGCACTGCTTCTGCCCTCCCGGCCCGGCCCGGCCGGCTGGCCTCTGACGCACATGCGGGTATTTTCCGGCGTATAAGACAACTGGGCGTATAAGACGACCCCCAACTTTTGAGAAGATTTTCATGGTTTAGAAAGTCGTCTTATACGCCGGAAAATATGGTAATAAGTTTTTAATTATTTCAATAATATACTATCATGTGCTTAGACAACACAGTTTTTCAAACTGTATTCTGTGCATCTGAAGGGACCTTGAGGGGCTTCCTTAAAAAGTGTTGGGGAGACTTTGAAGAAATCTGAACATTCTCTCTGTGAAAAAAGTTCACATGTATTACTATATAATATCTATTATTAACGAGACTAGCAGTTTAAGTTACTTACTATAGGTTAATTCTTCTCCAGCTCGCTTACGTGATTGGTCACCTCTAAAAAAAAAGGAAGCCAGACAATTTTTTTTACTGTTCTTATTTATTTGTTTCATTCAATTTTGCCCTACCTTTTAAATATCTAGGTCATTCAAGATGAATAACAAGCAACATAAAAATAAGAAATAATATTTAAACCCAGAAAAAAGCAGCCAAAATGCTGCTCAGTTCAAATAATCAGTTCTTGCTGAAGTGGAAATAAATAACAATTCCTAAGGAAGCACATGTGTGCAATAGTTTAGCAGTAATATAGAAGAAAACCCACTACTATGTGCCCCAAAGACCCCAAAACTAGAGCTTTTCTTGAGAGGATTTCTCTTGCCAAAACTAATGCCAGGTTTAGAAACATAGCCCTTTAGGATTTTAAAGTTTAAAAAGACTATATGAATTATGGTTAGAAAGCAAATGATAACTAATGTAGATATTTTAACATATGCATAATATGAACCTATTATCATGTGCTAAATAACAGCCTAGTTGCCATTTCCAATATCCTAATAAATAGAACATGTCAGCCTAGACTTCAAAATTAATCCAATCAAATCTTTAAATTTAACAATGTCCATAGATAATGCAGACATTTTAAATAAATGCAGCTAAAGTCAGAGAATCCTGCTGAAGTGCAAGTCTTTTCCTTAATATTTAGGCCTGATAGTGAGTGACAAATTGATAATTTGAGTGACAAATTATCTTTTATTTATAAGAGACAATAGCTGAAGTAAGAAACCACAAGTGAATGTCTTCGTATAGCTGTAACAACCAGATAACAGATACCCTGTTGGGTAACCATTTCAGAGATATTTCCTTACCCTAAACCAGGGGTATCAAACTGCCGCCCTATGGGCCGGATGCATCATAGCAAAACCACACCCATCCCATTGCCAGCAATGGTAAAAAAGTCATGATATGTCATGACACGTCACATGACGTTGCGAGTTTGACACCCCTGCCCTAAACAGAGAAACAGAATGATCATGGGCAGGAGAAAAGCAGCATGAACAGGAGCAATTTCCAACTTCTTGCCGGCTTCCCCATTGAGTGTCTACAGGAATCTGACAAGGAGTATCAGAAATCTCCCCTCCCTTTGTCTTCCTTTCCCTTCCCTTCCCCTTTCCAGCAATCAGGGAAATTGCTGCTGCTGCTGGGTTGGGTACGGAACAAAGGATTGTGAGATTGGCTGGGAAACTGTCATGGAATGTTGAAAATGAATCCACATGACTAGTGCAGCAGTAGAATTGAAGCAGCAACAACCTCCCCAAAGTTCATTCTGTTGGGATTCATGGGTCCTGGACTTTGGACATCTTTTGTAAGTTAGTTCATCTGAAGAACCTTGGTTTGAAAATTGTTGCTCTATGATGCACCATTTTACCCACATAAAGGTCATGATGAGAGTTTTAGTAGTATATAGATTTGTAGCATAAGAAGCTATAGCATAATTTATTCATTTCATGTACTATCAGTGCAGTCTAGCTTTCTTACGTGAACTGTTCTACAGAAGACAAAGTTTAAGCATATAGTCTTTGCAGTTGCTATTAGGTGGAGATGTGGAAGCAGGTATGTTAAATGCACACATCCGAATGTAATTGAATACATCTTTTTACTAGCAAACAAGAGCATTCACTACAGTATTACTGAAGGTCTGGAAGGGATTCAAGTACACAATTTAAGGAAGATGCCTTATAACACCCTTCAGTATTTCAACTGAGTGCATTGAGACTACTTCTACTGCCTCTTTCTTTCCCCAACTTCTGAGCATTCAAAGTTGGAAAGAAGAAATACACATGACACCATGCTTTTGTGTACAGCTAGACCTTTAAAGGAAAACGGATGATGTGAACCTGCATTTTCTACATTAGGTGTCCTCCTTCCACAAAAGTTAATTCATTGAATTTTTAAAGGTTTATCAAGAAGCAGACCCAAAGTACCATTGAAAAATGTTTTACCTGAGTGACATTTCCTAAGGCCTTCAAATGGTACAGTATGTTATGCTAGTTTATTTATTTATTGAATTTATACAGTCACCCATCTTACTTGTATGTAACTCTGGGCAGAGAACATAATTAAAATAAAAGTTAAAAGTTCAATACAATATAGCCATTAAAATAATTAAAAGCAACTAAAAGCCATGTGATACCCAAATTTATCTGCATAATTTACAGATCACCAAATAAAGATGTTGGAAAAGTTGGCCTTATTACCTGGAAAATCCCTCTTGTATAAGTTCTTGTTGAAGTTTCTGGTCCTGAGCAGCATATTCCTCAAGCTCAGATTCTACAGCAGGAGGAAGGATGTTTGGAATAAATTTAGAAAATAAAGCTGGTGCCATCTGAACCCATTCTGTGTAGAAATGGAAAACAATAGCTAATGAGAAAAAAAAAATACTTAAGGGATTTAACAGGGGTTAAGTTCAAATTCCTTCTTATGACACAATTTTAAACGGAAAAATCAAATCTAAGGTGCTGTGTACTAAATGAGAATGCTTTTAAAAATCATCAAAGATTTTAGATTACTCAATCTGTCTTTTTGAGAACAAGACAACAGTTGTATGGCCAAATTGATGGAACAAATATATCAAATACATTATAAATAAACACTATCACAAATTGCTCCAGAATTTATTAATATTTGTATGGTAAAATATCTTATCTTGATATGGTTCTAATGTAGGATTTATTTCTTACATATGTATATGATCTCTTCAAAAAATTTATTACATATAGCTTTTTACAAGATCATTTGATAAAAATGAACAAGTACTCAAAAAGATAATTTACCTGGCCTAAGCATGTATAATCCTTTGACAATGTTTGCCATTGTGGAAGGGTTTATCCAAAAAGGTGTGGACTGAGCTTCTAGAAGTAAAGCTGAAAGGAGAAAATACACTCAATTGCAAATTAATTTTACTTCAGATATTGATTTTTGTAACACAAATGTATGAAATGCACTGTTATTCTAGTCTACCCAATGAATCTATTCTACTTAAATCTTAAAGGAGGAGTTTTTATCAGAAATTAAAGCACTGGGGGAAAGCAAGTTTTTAAAATGGCAAGAGAAATCCAGAAAGATTTCATGCAAATGTCAAATCATGTGCAAGTTATTCCTTTTCTTTTCAGTGTGTTTTTTAATATGAATGCAGAATTCATGTCTCCTGATGACCTCTTAATAATTATATATGCAAACCAATTAAAAAGTTTAAATCACTTTTTTCATTTTCGATTTAAGTATAGATAGCCCTCTACTTATGACCGGTCATTTTAACAAGTGTCCAAAATTTTAATGGCCTAGGAAAGAGTGCTTAATGGCCTGCTAAGCACTTCTAGCCATCATTAAAGTCCACCCTCTATGTCATCTGACACATTTCATCTACTTGCCAAGTGTCCCACAAGCATGTGATTGCCATTTGCAATCTTCTCAGCCTGCTTACCCAGAAAGTCAAGAGGGAAGTTACCAAGAAAGGTTGCAAATATAGGAGAAATGAAATCTTGAAGATTTCAGCTCTACTCCTACAGCCCCGCAAGCGATTTCCTTTCTGTGCATTGAGGGGAGCTGAAATCCTTTGGTAAGCTACAGGAATGTTTGAGAGTGATAGGGTAAAATTCTTCAATAAGCAGCTCTTTTGCACCATTGCATAATGGCTTGGGAGATAGCTTAACAACTGCAACTGGAAGTGCTGTGATTGTGCTCGTTGAGCAAAAGAGTCACGTTGGCATCTCACTTAATGAGTGCTTTGTTTAACAGTTGAGATTCTACTCCTATGGTTGTTAAGTGAGGACTATCTATAAATAGGATGAGAAAACTCAGCAAGGAATTTCCTCTTTATAATTTTCCTTTTGTCAGATCCTAAGACAATCTTTTTAGCATAATTGTATTTTCATGCAACTGAGCAACTAAAATCAAATTTATGATAAAAATAATCCTCTAGGCATTTTATCAAATATCAAACAGCAACTGTAGTTCCTTTTCTTCTCTATCCATGAGAGAATTTATTTGTTAAGCGGTTAAATATGAGCAAACTAATCTCTGCAAAAGTGGATTCCATTACATGAGTATAAACTTTCTTTTTTCTTTTTCCTCCTAGCATTTTTCCCACAAGTGAATGGTCTGCTTTTTTTTTTTTTTTTGATCAACCAAGTGCTGATCCATTGGTTGCAACAGAATTAACCTATTGACTTGCTACTCAAGCCTGATGTCATAACTAAGAAAGAGTTATTGGTTCATGATCACCCAATCAGGTTTCATGTCTAAGATGGGACCAGAACTCAATTTCCTGATTTCTAGCCTGGTGTTTAACCACTAAACTAAAATGGCTCTCTACTATGTGAGGATAACCTGATGTGATAAAATCAGTTATATTTCTTATAAATAAGTTGTTAAATAGACATCTCATTTACAGGTGCTCCAAAGGAGAAAATACATGAAGAAAAGGCTGCATATATTTCTCGTATACATTTCTCTCTGAATTTTTATTTATATTATGCATCTTATTTCAGAGATATTTGGTTTTATACATATTATAAGTCAACAACTTATTAGATAGTGATAAAAGTTTTAAGAAGCATTAACACTTCAGTTTGAAAACCCAAAAGTTAAAAAGTAAATTGAAACTGAAATTCTGCTTCAGCCCCTACTATCAGTTGCTTGTAAAGATATATGATGGTAGAGTCAGTAGCAGCTAATGCTGGCCTACCGATATTTTTCAGAATAAAAATTATATGAACCATAAATTATTTGCTAGTAGTTTCACATATTAAAAGTGCTTCATTTCCCCCAAAGTTATTTTAAACATACCAAATAATTATTTTGTCAGTTTAAAGTCAGGTGGCTAAATATATTAAAAAATCAAGCAACTATATTAAACTCACACCAGAAGAATGATTTCACTGTATTTTTAAAATGTGCATGACAAACAAAGGAAGAACTGTTGAAGGTCAGCTGAGAATAGAAAACAACAATTCATAGATTCTCAGCTTTCCGCAATCCTTTACAAGCGTGTGTAGGCAACAACGAAGACAGAACACAAGTTATAGATTCATGTTCTTAGCCCTAGCCAGGTGGATGCTTAAAAAGTCATTTCAATAGCTTCATCTTTAAGACTTCAGAAATAAAAGCAAGAGACCCTTAACATACAATATGAAGTTCTATTGAACTATTGTGACTAATAAATTCATGCATTAGATAAATTCCCAGTTATTGCAAGGTGGGCAGGTACAAGCAAAACATCTTGCAATTATAAATTTCACAACTTAAGGATTTGTTAACTGATTAAGGGTTCTTACTCTAAGAGAAATAAAAATTAGAAGTTCAATTAAACCCAAAAAGTTAAAGTTAAATTATAGCCTCCACCAACACTGGCAGGGCAAGCTTCTGTATATAATCTAGCACTGATTATGCTTCCCGGTAGGTAATGAAACTCTTCAAGCAAGTATCCACTTTAGAAAGCACCAAGGACGCTATAAGAAAAGTACTGTGATCCTGACTTCTTTTCTTTTACCATTACTCAGAACAAGTGGCACAAAACAAGATAATAAAGATTGTGTCAGGAATTTAAACTGCCCCTTGTGCCTCAGTTTATTTCTTAAAATGAGTATATTTACAAAAAAAAAGCCATACCACATTATGTCTTAGTACCATATGCAAATGAGGTATATAATTAAACTAAAATTCTGTTAGCCTTTCTTCATAGAGAAGATTCTATTTCTGTCACTGCTATTTTAAATAACTCTATCACAACAAATTGGAATATATGGAATTGATTTTTCATTTTTAATGAAATGTTATAAAATTACTGCCAAGTAAGTACTGCTTATGTCATCAGCATGTCTGTAATGTTAAAATAACACTGATAAGGATTTAGATAAGTATTACTTATACATAGAAGACGCAGCCATAAACTGTGAAAACAGTAACTTGCTGCTAAAATGGCAGTGCAAATAGTTTATTCAGCTGCAAGTTTAAAGTTGGGAGAGCAGTTTAGCATATAGAAAGATGTCTTTTCTTTTAGTAACTGTGTAAAACAATGTTGCTTTCTTGAATATAAATCCACACAATGAACTCTTCTATTTAGCTAGCGTTAAAATTATTTTCATATGAATAATGAGAAGGGCTACTATTATACTGCTGCATAATTGGGCTGTGAAAATAACCTTGAAAGACAGGAGGGAGAGCTGCAGGCAGTCTAGACAACAGTTTGATGAAAGAAGCCTGAGTCCAAAGCAGGAATGGGGATAGTGTTTCATAAATGACTCTCCCTAATTCTCTGGAAGGTAAAAGTGGAGGAAGGAGGAAGAAGTTTCAGACTTGCAAGTTTCTGTTATACATTTATGAAAAAGGATAATATTAATACTCTTGGTTTTGGTTCCTGGTCTGGACTACGTTAAAGGCTTAAAACAATCTTATCGGACTGAAAGCTTTTAAGAAGAAAAACCACCATGAAAATGTAATTTCCACAATGAGGCCCAATTGCACGATAAACTCATTCAGCGAAGGCTAAGTTTGGCATACAGGTTTTCTTATTTTGTTGCTCTATAGATCTTCTGGTGGAAATGGTGGCAGTCTAATCAATGTCAATACTGATATCTGAAGAAATCGATAGCACTTATAGCAAAAGCAAAGATAATTAAAGACATCTGGACTGTAATATAACATACTACCAAAGAAATATATATTACAAGTAGTCCCCAACTTACAACCATTTTTTTAGTGACTATTTGAAGTTACAATGGCACTGAAAAAAGTGACTTATGACCGTTTTTCACACTTATGACCATTGCCACATCCTCACAGTCACAGATCAAAATTTGAACGTTTGGCAAATGACATGTATTTATGACTTTTACAGGATCTCAAGGTCATGTGATCACCTTCTGTGACCTTCTGACAAGCAAAGTCAATGGGGCTAAATTGTGGTCATAAGGCGAGGACTACCTGTATACCCTCTGGCTCAGGAAATTCTGGCATTTAATTAAACAAGTACTCAATTACATTGCAATTTTCCCCAACAACCAATAGCTATAATTGGCATGTTAATCCTGTTTTGAATTAAATTCTTGACAGGCTATTTAGTGTTAAGATACTTTCCATTTTTATCATTTTCCGACTAATGATTCAGCAATTTATTGCTATATTAAAAAATGAATCATCTCAAACTTTAGACTTACGCATCAGGCTGTAAATGTGCTTTTCTGCAACATGTTCCGTAAACAGTTTTATAAGATCATTTCTTAAATCTCGGTTAAGCTTGGTTTCTATGTAAAATTTATTCTGAGGAAAAAAAATAACATCCTTTTAAATGACAGCAATATAAAAGTACTGTTACAGACTACTTCTGCTTTGCACTTCTCATACTCCAAATCATTTGTTTGTGAACAAAAAACAAATAATACAGTGAGTCCAGTTAGAAAGAAAAAAAGTTGAAAGCAAATTCTAAATTCATTTGATATGCCAGCTTGACCTTTACAATTATGATCTTCATCAATGCTACAGAGGGAATAAAGCTCAAAAATATTGTGATACAAAGTAGTAGGACTGGAAGCCATACACTGGGTGTGGATGCATCCAATACTGAACTTAAAGAGACCCAGTATGTCCATCAAATGCACAGTGTATAAGCATTAAACAGGAAAAAATATAAGTCTTAATGCAGGAACAGAAACATGTTTAAGTAGACCTTAATTGGTAGAACAAATGTATGAGTAAAATGAATGGCCCATCCTATATTATAGAGTAGTGAGGTAAATAAATCCAGCCATTTTCTCTCAATATGAATGTTACACTGGATCCTAACTTCCTTATCAACTCTTCAAATCAATTCATCATTGTGTAAAAAACAGAAGCCTGAATATTCAAGAGCCTGAGTAGTATAAGGATTGTACTACTACTTTCTGAAGAGACTGACAAACCAGGATTATTTCTTTGGTTGTAGAACCCCTCCTGCTCAAACCTCTTCTTGAAAACCTCCAGTGAAGGAGCACCAACAACTTCTGGAGGCAAGCACTGATTAATTGCTCTGTCAGGAAATGTCTCCTTAATTCTAACTTGGATCTTTCTTTTTTTTTTTAATTGAAAAGTTTTACAAAAATTACAAAATATACCCCAACCCCCCCTCCCCCCTCCCCCCTCCCCGCAACCCCCCTTCCCAGAGCTGAATACAGGGTAACAAATATAATAATCATAATCTAACTAACATTAACCAACTATATAGATAAACAAATATAATGCGCTTTAACTCTTTTTTAACACAGAGTAAACAATTTACAAATAAACTTTATCTTATAAACAAATTAAAATCCCAATTTATAAACAATACAATATAATAAAAATTCCACTATACTAAACTATTAATAATAATAATAATAACAACAATAATAATATTCAATAATTTATTCATAAAATAAATGGAACTTTTTAGTCCCATATTTATTCTGAATATAATCTATCCATCTTCTCCAAACCGAAATTTATTTATTTTATTTATTTATGAGACTTATATACCGCTTTAAGTGCAAGCACTCTCTAAGCGGTGTACACCAGTAAGCAATGTATATATATATTTACATTGCCCCCAACAATCTGGGTCCTCATTTTACCTACCTTGGAAGGATGGAAGGCTGAGTCAACCTTGAGCCGGTGAGATTTGAACCGCTGACCTGCTGAACACAGTCAGCTAAAGTGGCCTGCAGTACTACACTCTAACTGCTGCGCCACCTCGGCTCTTTATATATATATATATATATATATATATATATATATATATATATATATATACACACACACACACACACACACACACACACACACACACACACACACACACATATATATATATATATATATATATATATTTCTTGTGAATAATCCTTCAAATAATCTTAGCCATTTCTGCTAAATTTGAAACTTTAAGCGTCCATTCTTCTATAGTAGGCAAACAATCCTTCTTCCAATATTGCCCTACCAACAGCCTTGCTGCTGTTATTAAATTCAACACCAAATTAGTTTCCTTAACATCGAAAACTACAATAATAGCCAACAAAAATAGTTGAGGAGTTTATCTTTCTTTTAAAAATATTCTGAATGATCCACCAAATTTTAATCCAAAAAGCTTTTACATTTCTACAAGTCCACCAAATATGAAAATAAGTTGCATCCAAACTACCACATCTCCAACATTTGGGCTGCAAGTTAGGATACATACAAGACAACTTTTGGGGATCCAAATGCCACCTATAAAACATTTTATAAAAATTTTCTCTCAAATTTTGAGCTTGAGTAAATTTTACATTTCTAACCCAAATTGTCTCCCATGTATCCAATAGAACCGGCTCTTGAATATTTTGTGCCCATTTTACCATACAATCTTTAAGTAATTCCGTTTCAGAATCCAATTCTATTAAGACATTATAAATTCTCTTTATATGAGCTCGAGTTTGATCTTTAATCTGCTTTATCAAATTCGCATCCTCTAAAGTAATACCAACCTTTTGATCTAAACTCCACCTAACAATTGATTATATTGAAACCAAGAGTGTACAATATTTTCATGCTTCAACTCAGCTAAAGATTTTAATTGCCAGTCCTTCCCTATCAAATTAAGTAATTCCTTATAAGAAATCCTATCCAAATTCACTCCTCTAGATACCCCCTCTATCACGTGTCCGGGAATCTCCCAAATTGGAATTTTATAATTTAACCTATAATAATACTTCTTCCAGACACGTAATAAAGCATTTCTTAAAATGTGAGATTTAAAAAACCTGATCTACTTTTTTATTATAAATTAACTTGGATCTTTCTTTAATAATCTTCCACCTATTACTTCTTGTCCTGCCCTCAAGTGCTTTGGAGAATAGGTCGACCCCCTCTTCTCTATGACAGCCCCTCAAGTATTGGAAGACTGGTATCGTATCACCCCTTAGTCCTTTTGTTTTAAGACTAAGTTCCTGCAACTTCACAAATCTGCTGCTTATCTTTTTTTAAAACCTTTATTATCTTCTATTGTATTAAGGTCCTAAGTTTAAAGTTCCCAATAATTTATAACAATTAACATTGTTAGAAATGTTACTTTAAGTGATTGAAGCATATAAGGTAAGCCACACAATTCAGAAGCAACCTTTTCTTTCTACCTATTTTGTTTTTCCTTAGCACAGGAATTACACATGGTGTAAAGCAATTTTTAATGCCAATCTAAGAACAACAAAAAAGGCAGTCAGTTCTTTCTCAAGACTTATCTCCTGATGATCTATAGCAGTGTTTCCCAAACTTGACAATTTTAAGGCATGTGGATTTCAACTCCCAGAATTCCACAGCCAGCGTTGCTGGCTGTGGAATTCTGGGAGTTGAAGTCCTCATGCCTTAAAATTGTCAAGTTTGGGAAACACTGATCTATAGAACTGCTATTTCTTAATATCATACTTTTCTCCTCTACAAGTGAGCACAATTAAATGCAGCTCAACAGATGTCAAGAGAGAAGGAGCACCCCAGCTTCTAAAATGACAATAAATGTTGAACCTTTTCACTACTCTTTGTATCAAGCAGACTGGTGAAGAAGGAAAGCAGACTGGTGAACAAGGAAAAAACCAAATGTGGATATTTCTAAACATCTAAAGCTATTCAAGGTTGCTATCAAAATTAAGTGCTTTATGATACTTTTTGATCTTTTGTGCTAGTACAGAAAATAACAGAATCATAGTCAAATTTCATGCATTTTTAGAAGTTGTTTTGGGGAATCCCCGAAGAAAAGGAAATTGCTGTAGATTTTTCAAGGGAATGGGCACAATAAACTAGTCTTCTCCCTTTATCAGAAATGAAAAGTGAGATCTGCAACTAAATGTGATTTTACACAGCTGCTAAATGTTCCAGGCAGTCTGCTCCATTTCCATTTCTACCTAATTTACGTATTCTCTATAATTAACATTCTATAGGAAATAAACATTCCTGAGTCAGGACATCCCAGGTTCAAATATGACACATACTGCTGATCTAAGGGCACCAGGATTTTCTAATGTTAAAAAATGATAAATATGCTAAGGCCTTCCATGATGGGCCCAGCACTCTTGGGAATTTTTTTTTGGGGGGGGGAGAGAAGGCCTGCATGCTACTGGATCTAGTTGAGTTCTTCCAGATGTGATGGGACAGGGAGAAGACCAAGACTTTCAAGAGTGGGAGAGGGGAGAGGGAGGAGACCCCTCTGTGGCTTGGTCTAGCCCAGGGATAGGCAACCTTGGCTCTTTTATGACTCTTGGACTTCAACTCCCAGAATTCCTGAGCCAGCCACGAGTCATAAAAGAGCCATGGTTGCCTACCCCTGGTCTAGCCAGCTACTGGGCCTGGACAGGTTGCTGTGTGCCGACTAGCAACCGAACCTCCCTAGGTGATCAGTTAACAAATGCAATCAAGAGAGCGGGCATTGCGGTCAGTGAGTGAGGCAGCCACATGAGTGTCTTGCTTAATACCACAGTGATTTACTACCAAAATTCTGTCCTTTTCTGGATTTCTGGATTAATAAATTTTTAAAATTATGGCATGGTTTTGTAAAAGTTACTACAAACATCTTACTTGTGGTCTAACAAAGTTTCAAATATCAAAAGCCCTAGAAAATAATTTGTCTAACAATTTAGAAGCTTTCTTCCTCCCCCCCCCCCAGTTTTTTTTTTCAGGGTAAATATGCAATCACCAAATATATTAAATATTTCCAGCCTATTCACTACTAGCTATATGGGCCATTGATTCAAACACTGGAAAGGAAGAAAAAAACTGCACAAGCATAAATGATGCTTGAATGTTAGTGTGATGTTACAAAGATAGAAAGTTAGCAACATTTCAGTGTTATCCTAGCCAATTTCTAAAATCACATTTTAAAATCTCAACATAACACAAAGTTCTTTTAAATCCTTGAATTAATTTTAGAATGTCTTGTTCTATCTGGCAGCATTTCTTTTCATGAAGATATGTCTTTACTGAGTCATCTAAGCTGTGTAGCTTTTATTTCATTAGAAGTATTTTTACCCTACTTAAAAAAAAACAAAAACCTTTCCTAGCTGTACAGTATTATGCAATGACACAGCATATACAATAAAAATTAAGATAATAAGTTGAAAACCGAAAATGAAAACTAGTAAAATTAATGATCAAACATTAACTCTGAACATCAAAGCATTTCTGTTTTGCATTAAAGGGCCAGAAATTAGGGCCACCACTCTAATACAGTTTAACAACATGCAGACTTTCCTTTACTGACTTGAAAACACAGGAAGGGTGCTATGGGCACAAATTATTTTCCAGATAACCTAACTCCCAATCAAATACTTTGAATGAACTCAGAAATGCATTAAGTACAGAATTAATGTAGTACTTTTCTTTTCTCTGGCCTTAATATCCATCTCAGAATGCTTAAGCTGGATCTAACAAGAATAATTTTATGCACAAAATATGACACAGATTTGCCCATTGGGCTTTGAAACAGTTCTACTGCATTCAATAAGTCCCTTCCTGCTAGAAGAATTGGAAAGAATAGCTAAAGCAACTTATTATTTTCCAGCAGCAGACTGAGAATTGATTTTTACTTGCACTGGTTCTGCTGGCTTTGCAAAAATCACTAATCCAATTATTTCATCACTTCTCATCTCAGGCACAAAAAGCCTCTTCTCAGTTGCCATTCATTGCACCTCGGACATTCAGAATGGCCTCTGATGATCTCACTACAACAATCAGGCTTATATCAATGTTATTCATCTTTAAGTATCCACCCTTAAACTGTAGAAGGGCTTTAAAGGTCAGTACTGTCAATTTAATTGGACCTAGAAGGCTATGAACCAACTGTCAAAGCAGTAGCTTATAGGATTTTGAATTAACATCTTTACAAAAAGTCCCCATATCCTTCAGTAGCTTGACAAGTCACTTATCTGATCCTAGATAGGTAATATATATACTATGTGGAAAAACTAGTAACAAAAACACTGTCCTAAGGAAATTAAACTGTTTTAACAAACATGTAGCAACGCCCAGAACAAGTTGGTCATAAGTTTCTAGACAGATCAATTATTTGTCAACACCACACTTTCATGGTTAGACTGAGTTTCATATTGTTCCTCAGTCCGTCAACTATTTAATCTTGAGAATGATTGTCTTCATTAGCTGAAAATGAAAACTAAATTTTATGGCATCATACTGATAATATTTTATTATAAATGTCACCAATACCTACAATTTAAGTAAACAAACGGAATCTCTCAGCACATATACCATATGAAGGGCAGTAATCTCCTACCGAAACTTTTGAGATTAACCAACAAAGTATGAAAGTAATCCATCAGAGTAGAATTTATTTATTTAAGAACATTTAGATGGCCATCCAACTCACTCCCCATGTTTACCACCATGCAACAGCTGCAGGCTTTCCATGCCTGCTTGAGGAACTATTCTCATTTGATCTTCCTACAATTCTTTCTCAGGAAAACTTCCTTTTCTCTAATATTTTCATGACACAACCTGTTAATCAACTAGTGACCTTCTAAGTTTTTATTGTAATTTTCTTGAGCTGAAAGATACTGTACATACTAGTTTCTGTTACTGGAAAATAAACAAACTCAGCTATATAAAGCTCTGATGCCACAATCATTTCAATCCTATGCCCAATGTATTTATACAGATTTTGCACTAGGAGCAGCACTTGTACTTGTATATGCTTACATGTGCATACATTTTTTCCTTGCCAAATGGCAACTTTATCTGGTCTTCTAAAGTTCTAAATCACACGTACAAACCAGAGAAATAGACACGTAATATACAACAGCACAAAACCGTGATTTCGCTGGTGTAAATCAACCTGAATGAGGCTAATGGATTACTAAAATGAAGTTATTCTGCAAAATATTAAGAGTGATTATTCCAACAAGGTTCTAGAAAGCTAGATGAAAAATAACCATAGAAGATTCCTTGTCACAACTACAAATGTGTCTTAGGATCATCATCTTCCAAATAAATGGAAACTAGTATTAACCATTTAGGGACTGGGGAGGAAAGAACTGAAATAAAGTTCAGTTCTAACAGAAGTTAAAAAAAACTGAGTGATTATCAATCTCTTTCCTGACTTACAATAAACATTATATGAGAACCTAGTTGCTGATTTGGTTATCTAGTAATAACTAACACCTAGCTAATTCTTTTCATTCAAGTCTAATAACTTACCATATATATGAAAAGAGGCACAATGCTCTGTAATGCTCCCATATACTGCCCAAGTGCTATGTTAAACCTTTCAATGTAGAGATCCGGAGGGCTGGCCTGCAAAAGAAAAAAAAAAAAGAAAATAGAAGGAAACCTTAATTCTGGCATAAGCAGGTTAAGTTTGAAGATGTAAAGAAAAACCCTAATGTGAAAGATTAAAAATGATTTAAAACAAGCATTTTACCATTACAGATAGTCCTCTAGTTATAAGTACAATTGGACCAGAATAGCTGTTGCTAAGGAATGTGGTTGTAAAACATGATGTCATGTTTTACCACATTGCTTAGCAATGACAGCCAGGCAGTACTGGTTGTTGTCGTAATAACAGATGCATAGGTTGTTAAGTGGGAAGCAGAGAGAGTCCTGGGTAAAGAGTGAGACGGGCATGCATAGGGTGGGGGAAGCCCTGGGAGACCCAGCACAAACCGCATACAATTTGGGGCAGTGGGGTGTTGCAGTGACGTGTGAGCTCAAAAAGTCCAGAGAAAGAGGGTGCAGGGCAGTGGTGGGGAACATATGGTACAGGTGCCAGAGGCGGCACTCAGAGCCCTCTCTGTGAGCACGCGTGCCGTCGCCCCAGTCCTAGGCCTTCAGCTGGGTTTTATAAAATCTTTTCGCTTTAGGTCTCCGCCGCCATGTACATAAAAAAAAAAAGGTTCAATCAGTCAATTTCAACTTCTTGCGGGAAAAAAAAGATCTTGCAAAGTTGGAATTGATTGAACTTTTTAGTCCCACCCAGTCTGCCATTACCACCGCAGCCACGCCCACCCAATGGGCCACACCCACTCAATGGGCCACACCGACCCGGCACTCAACGATGCATAACTGGGTTTTGGGTTGCAGTTTGGGCACTCGGTCTCTAAAAGGTTCTCCATCACTGGTGCAGGGTGTGTGCCAGTGCAGGAAGGCTGCAGTAAGCGGGTGTGGAGTGCGTGCAGGTTTGCTGAACAAATGATGATAACTTAGGACTATCTGTAATGTTTCCTCTACCCACCAACCCTGCTGCCCCTCTACAAATGTCAAGGACGAATCACTTTGACAGTCCATCATATAATAAGAATATGTATACTATTAATAAGTGCTTTCTTCTTGGGTATTCAAAAAGGCACCATTAGGAAAGAAAAAAAAAAGATATCAACAAGGGGAAAAAAGGGGGGAGGAGGAAACAAGGTCCAGGATTGAAATATTCATCTTCAACCCAATGATGCCTAAGTGTGCTCATTGTCAACAAATTTATTTATTTATTTATTTATTTATTTATTATTTAAGAAATTTGTTTTGCCGTCTCCTCGCACATGGCGACTCAAGACGGCTTACATAAATAGAAAAACACCCTATAAAAAATAAAATAACAAGAGGAAAAATAAAATAACATAATATAATAACGACCCACCCCTCCACTACAACATACATTAAACTAACCATTTGCTGGGCTCTATCCCGCTCTGGGTGCCCCAGGCGCGCTGGCAGAACCAGGTCTTCAGCACTTTCCGAAAGAGTGTTAGAATGGGGCCAGTCTAATCTCTGAGGGAATGATGTTCCAGAGAGATGGAGCCACCACAAAGAAGGCCCTTCTTCTGGGTACCGCCAGATGCATCTCCTTAGGGGATGGGACCTGCAACATTCCTTGCCTCTCTGCTCTAGTGGATTGGGTAGATGTGACCGACAAGAGACGGTCCCTCAGATAACTGGTCCCAAGCCATGAAGGGCTTTAAAGGTGACAACCAGCACTTTGAATTGCACCCGGAAGCAAATTGGCAACCAATGCAGCTCCTGCAGGAGAGGTGTCACATGTGCACACCGAGGTCTGCACAAAACCATGCAGGCTGCTGCATTTTGTACCAAATGGAGCTTCCGGAAGTTCTTCAGGGGCAGCCCCATGTAGAGTGTGTTGCAATAGTCAAGATGGAAGGTGACTAAGACATGAGCGACTGTGAGTAGGGATTGTTGGTCCAGGAAAGGGCATAACTAGCACACAATACGCAGTTGTGCAAAAGCCCTCCTGGCCACAGCTGCCACCTGCTCTTCGACCAGGAGCCGCGAGTCCAGGAATACCCCTAGATTATGCACAGGGTCTGTTTGGGGCAGTGCCACGCCATCCAAGACCAAAGATGCCAATTCTCCATGGGTCAAAGAATCCCAAACTCAGAGCCCCTCAGTCTTGCCAGGGTTCAGTTTCCACCCGTTACTCCCCATCCAGCCTCTAACAGCCTTCAGGCACTGCGAAAGGGAAGTCATGACATCACATAACTCACCACAGGCTGGATGCCAAAGCTTGGGTGGGAAGTGGATAAAAATGGTGGAATGTAATATTTCTGAGAAAGGTTGTTGCCTCCTCCATTTAAGTTTATGCTATATATACAGATCCTCTAGAAGGAACAACGTCAAATGCACCCTTTTAAACAGTGCTTAACATTTCCAGGCTACTATGTTTAATATTATGCCCAGGGAAATTCCAGTGCTATAACAAGACTGAGAAATAAAAAACATACCCAAGGAAACATTTTCAGTACTATTACAAAGAAAACAACATAGATATTAGGAATTTAGCTTGATATAAAAGGGACTTCATCGTTTTTAGACTTAACATTCTTTAAAAAAATATTAAATAAAGTTTAACACATATAACTATTGAAACGGTAACATCTTATTGCATACAGGTAATCTACTTTTCTGTTTTATAATTGATTATATTTTCTCTTAGCTCTGTTTTTCCCCTTGTTTGTCATGTCTTTATTATCCAGCAGCAGAATCTAATAAATACACATGGATTTGCTTTTATTTTCTCACAGCCATTTATGTGAGTTATTGCTTATAGCTGCAAACAACAGAACAGATAAGATTCTAGTAGCAGAGTGATTCTTGTGCTTTAGTGATGAAACCAACTCTAGTCTTACCCTTTTGCACAAAAGCAAATATTAACTACCACAGGACTGCCAATAGATACAGCACTTCTTTTCTGTAACGTCAAAGGAACAGCAATAATTCCATCACTGTGGCACATAAGTAGTTAGAATAATAGGTTTACATGTTCAAATCTCTCAGCCAATTTAATGGACAGCACAGTTCACAACTAATATGTCCATCTAGCTCTGGAAGTAAGACATCAAGTCTGAAAGCTTATATAGGGTCTATGGCACTGTTGCATTTCTACTCAGAAGTTATTATCTGAACATAGTTGGTAAATTCATATAGGAATGTGGCCTTAGAATTACAGACTGTGCTATATAATGCATTCAAGGGCTTTTATAACAGAACATGGAAAAGAGATTGCTAGGTTTGCTCTATTTGCAAAGCACTTAGAAAGACAAAAGCTTTTAATGATCCATAGCAAAATGAAATCACAGTTACCCACTATAGATCCCAACTTTATGCACAATATAGTCAAATTAAGCAAACTCACCTAACAGAGACATCTATTCCCATTTTGTAGCCTAATTTGCTTTATTTAATTCACAGTAACAACACTGATTACAGTAACCTTAAAACATAAGACACAACAATGGTTGTAAGTATACTGCAGACTGTGATTTGGTTAATTATGACAGTGTTAATTTTATAATCAAAAAGGAACACAGGATTTTATAATCAAAAAGGAAACATAATGACAAACTCTCCTATTTATTTTGGAAAATCCTTAAATCACCATTTCTGGGTTTGAACCTCCTGAGAAACTGGTTTCAAGGATTTCCTTATTCCCCTTGTAAGTTTGGTTTTGACAGAGGAAAGCAAAGCAGAGAAGGAAAATGGAGTATATAAGCATTCACCTCATTACCCATCTAATAAAATTTAAATTTAAATCAGATCACGATCATAACTGGGCTTTATTAATAATCAGGAACTTAACAAGACTTAACAAGTTAAAATATTTTCTTCTGATTAAAATAAGTTTGTGTTCATCTAAAACAAACTATCAATTCAATCTTGTGAATTATGGAAAATGGAACAAAACATGGGAATTTTTTAATGTTATCTGAATAAACAACAGTATATCAAATTACTCCTTTAATAAAAAAAAAAGATTTGCAAGACTGAAAATAGAAGAGGAAGTGAAAACTGAAATAATCGTGCCTGCATTTTCCATGGACCAAAATAGTCTAAGAGTTTGCATTCCACTATTGATAAATTATGGGTATGCAAAACTTTCAGATTTTAACACAAATCATAGGTAAAGAATTTGGCTTTAAGCTTTCAACAAATTTTGGCTTTTTAAAACAATTTTGTTTGAGTGGTCCAGGCTGTTCCGAGTATTCCAACTGAAATTTTGCATGGCAGCTTTTAATTGGTTTGCTTTAATCTTTCAAGGTAGAATCTAGACCAGTGGTGGCAAACCTATGGCACGCGTGCCAGAGGTGGCACTCAGAGCCCTCTCTATGGGCACATGCGCCATGCCCTGGAGATTGCAACCGTCCCTCTTCAACCAGCCGCCTGCTAACTCGCGGAGGACCCACATGGCCAGATGCATCCCAGCACCCATGCGCTCACTAGCCTGTGTGTGCAAGGGCTGATGGTGTCAGGCAGCAGCCGCCCCGGCCCGTCTCACCTTGCCCTGTGACAATGGCACCCCCACCTTGCCTCGTCTCACCCTGCAGGACAAGCTTCCTGCCCACTGCCCCACCTGCCAGAGACCCCCTGGATCTCCCCCAACCGTGCCTGGCCCCCAAAGGTGTCCCTCCCCATGAGCAACATCAAGGTGATCACGTCCCCCTTGGCCACACCCACCCAATCTGCCATGACCAACACAGCCACACCCACCCCACCTGGCACCTGGCGATAAATAAGTGGGTTTTGGGTTGCAGTTTGGGCACTCGGTCTGTAAAAGGTTCGCCATCACTGGTCTAGACAGTCGGCACAGACTGACTGGCTGATGCTGGGTAAGGTGAAATGGGCAGGAGGAATGTTAGGAAAAAACAGTTGTCATTAAGCACTTGGCTCAGAGATAAACAACTACTTTAAAAATCTATTCTGCTAATGTTTCCAAACAGAGCAAAGATTGCTTGCAACCATCTGCTTGCTTGCCTAGCTACGTTACTCTTTTTTAAAAAATTCATTGTCAC